ATTATCGGAAATACCAAAACAAACAAACAAGGAACTGTACTAAGCATTCGGCGCACGGATCCATAGCTGCCAGCGCTGCATACTGTCGTAGGACGTTCCCGCGGTCGCGTGCGCCTTGCCGCGGAACTGCGCGCAAGATCTGCGCTCAGCACTTCGGGTCAACACCTCCTTTCGGCAACGCTTCTCTAGTATCCCGTCTCATCTGGATTCATTCGATTTTGTTAAATTTACCTACCTACCTACCTAATCATATCTATGTGTAATATTGTGTTTTAGATTCTTAGTTACACTAATTTGACTGGAATATATGAGCTATAGTGTCATTGACACTTTCATTTTAATCACAGTCCAATGTCTGTGTATATCAGTTCTTAAGGATACTCTCCACCTTTTGCATGAGTATTACTCTAATGAAGATTAAACGTTTATTGATGAATGAATCGAATCAATCACTTGTTTTATTTATAGATGAGATGTATCTCTGTGCTCAAGCACCTAATTATGTTACCACACAAATTTTTATGTAAAAATGGTATTTTGGATATTTCTAAATTACAAGAAAGTCTGAGGATACAACATTTTCGCCACATGTTAAGCACAATATGTACCAAAAAAGTCTGTCAGGATTTTTCTATATATACGTATTTTTTCATATTTACCGAGACAAATGAAAAAAACTGCCTAAAATTCAAGTCACGTTTGAATTTAATATTTTAGCGAATAAACAGACATAACTAATAAAATACGGCACTTAATAACAATCCCTGACGCACTTTTTTACAGCAATATGTTACCATTAAAACAAGTGTAAAATTAAATTATTCCGAGTTGTAATCACAGAGAAATATCCATTTATACATCGGCTACTATGTCAGAAATCGGAATGGAGAAATCGGCGTTTTTCTATTTTTCACGATGATCGACCGCCTGTGTGAAAAATGGATGCACGTATGTGAAATATCTACTGTTAGTACTTACTGCGACATATCCATGACTAACTGACACCACTAAATTGGTAAAATGTTCCATGCACCTTGAGAAATTACGAGGTGACCAACGCAATTTCATGCAAAATGGCGCGAACCCGCCCATTGCCTGACGTCACTAAGCTATATGGCAACAAACGCGCGCCTTATGTAAGGTATGTAGCGAGGTAAAATAACTATTTTTGGCAGCGTGGGATAGTTCACAGATCACTAGCATATGACAGCTGTAGTAGGATTGATATTGTTGGATACTAGCTTAGTGAATATCGTGAAAATTCTAGTTGTATCATGTCTCTGACGTCATAGTGACGTCAGCCGCGGCTCACTACACATGTACGGGGGCAATCAAAACGCTCTGAAATTTCACATGTATCGTTATATGGAGAAATGAGCATGTACAGAGGTTGCACATAGTGTTAGCTGTTAGCCATCGAATAAAGTTGAAAATGAAAAATCGGTAAAATTTTGCCTAAAACCTTGAGAGTATCCTTAATGACAATGTCTAAATTGACTTTTTTACCTGAGCAAGATAACCATGCCCCTTGAATGTTATTGCTAAGTCAGTCAACATAGGTTAGTTTATATTTGTTTTGCATGTATGCATGCTAAAATATCAACTTTTTAGCTCTTCATTGCTCTTCATTGCTAAGCAGCATTTTTAAAATGCCGCTGCTTGCAACAGTGTTGGGCTAGAGCTACCTGTCGATCTCTACATGCAGATAAGTCACTGGCTATCTCATGTTTAAATGTTATTCACGTGTACACTTGCATACGTTTCAGGACGAGCATTTGTTCAATGTTCTCAATGACTACTGGATGCAGGAGGCAACGAAATCGTCTGTGCCGATAAACGGCACGGGCGAGCCGCAGGCAGAACTTCTAGCATCGCCGAGTGGCGGAAAGAAGCGGCGGAACGAACGCGAGAAGGATCCGAATGCTCCGAAGAAACCTGCAAATGCCTTTCTCATGTTCTGCCAGCAGCAGAGGAACGTGTCGCAGGAGCAGTTCGCAAAGGGTAATGTGTGTCGACGTCGGTGCGTGAATGAATCGTCCACATCGTGTGATCTGTTGGCAGGAAATAAATGTTCCTTGGTGGCTATGGATAATTAAATGCATGATTGCTATGTCGCTAATGACAAAACTGTGCTGATGTGCAACGGTATGATGGCAACATGTGTTGTGGAGTTTTATTTGGTATCCTCATTGGCCTGTATGTTAGTCCGAAATTGATATATGCACTTGTGAGAATTGTGTCGATTGAGGTTCATTTACTGAATTATAATGATTGTTCATTTATATTATAAGCTGGTAAAACGGTGATAGTTAATTAACTGTTTAGAGCTAACAGACAGAGTGCTCGAAAGGAATCGTGGTCTGTTTGTACAATAATCGGCACACTTGGCATCTGTATGCTAAAGAACTATTGTTGATTGTATTCAGAAAATCCTGGTCAAGATGTGAGTCATCAGGAGTTGACCAAAATTATGGCACACCACTGGAAGAACCTAAATTCTGAAGAGAAAAGGGTGAGTTTGTCATGTGAAATGTATACAGACAACACACACATACAAATACATGCAGGTGCACTCACAGAGATATGCACGCATGCACACGTAATCTCAGTGGATCACTGGATTATGAATTTCATTGATTATTAAAACAATAAGTGTCATTCCATTCAATGGGGTTCGCCATTTATTAATCGCTGGATAGATGGCGCGCGTGCACTGTCCGGTATCACTGCTAAACAATGGCTTCTAGTTACGAAGGGAAAACCGTAAATGAATTGAAATCAGAGTTGCAAAGACATCTGGGAGGAAAGCTGATCGGAAGCTGATAGAAAGGTAAATTAATTAACCTACCTGCTCTCTAAAGTAGCACGTACACTTACGCTTGCGTGTGTGTGCACGTACACGTGCGTGCGTGCGTGCGTACACGTGCGTGCGTGCGTGCGTGCGTGTGCGCGTACGTGGGTGCGTGTGCACGTGCGCGCATGCGTGCGTGCGTGGACACTTACACGTGCGTGCGTGCGTGCGTATGCACGTACATGTGCGTGCGTGTGCACGTACACGTGCGCGCGTGCGTGGGTGCGTGTGCACGTAACCGTGCGTGTGCACGTACACGTGCGCGTGCGTGTGTGCGCGCTTATGCATGTACATGTGCGTGCGTGCATGGGCACGTACACGTGCGTGTGCACGCGTGTGTGGATGCGTGTGCACGTACACGTGCGTGCGTGCGTGGGTGCGTGTGCACGTACCCGTGGGTGCGTTTGCACGTACCCGTGCGTGCGTGCGTGCGTATGCACGTACATGTACGTGCGTGCGTGCGTGTGCACGTACATGTGCGTGCGGGCGTGCGTGTGCACGTACACGTGCGTGCGTGTGCACGTACATGTCCGCGCGTGCGTGGGTGCGTGTGCACGTACACGTGCGCGCGTGCGTGGGTGCGTGTGCACGTACACGTGCGCGCGTGCGTGGATGTGTGTGCACGTACACGTGCGTGCGGGCGTGCGTGTGCACGTACACTCGTGCGTGAGTGTGTGTGCACGTGCGCGTGCGTGGGTGCGTGTGCACGTACACGTGCGTGCGTGTGTGTGCACGTACACGTGCGTGCGTGCGTTCGTGTGTGTGCACGTACACGTGCGTGCGTGCGTATGCACGTACATGTGCGTGCGTGCGTGCGTGTGCACATACACGTGCGTGCGTGCGTGTGCACGTACACGTGCGTGGGTGCGTGTTCACGTACACATACACGTGCGTACACATGGCACGTACACGTGGGCACGTACACATGCGTGCGTGCGTGTGCACGTACACGTGCGCGGGCGTGTATGCGTGCGTGTGTGTGCACATACACGTGCGTGCGGGCGTGCGTGTGCACGTACACGTGCGTGGGTGCGTGTGCACGTACACGTGCGTGCGTGTGTGCGTGCGTGTGCACTTTCATCACTTCTTTTGATCGCCACACACCATTTCAATCTCAGTTCTAGGTCACTTGGAAAACTATGACCTCCTTTATTGTTACAATGAGGTACACAGTAATCAGGCATCGCAAAAGCAACTATAAAAGCCTATTCACGGAAGTAATGTATACCGGTCCAGGCACGCACGCCATCTTGCGGTGAACTGATTGGCTAACCTCATTAAGTAACCTCATGAAACCAACCATACATCTCGTGTCGTCAGTGTGAAGAAGTGTGCTTGGGTCAGTGCTCACTTGTTTTTCGTGTTGGCGTGACAGGTACCACACAGTTAGGCCGAATTGAACTGCGTAAGTCATTAATTGTCATAATTGGAAGCAGCCTGTTGCGCTGTCACGTCCGAATTGTATCCATGTGGTGAGCTCACGCTTATCAGCGTCCACTAGAGGTCTCTGTCGGCATGCATTGGAATGCAAAAGGCTCACTAAAATGTTTACCTATGCCGCCTGCCAAACTGCGATACACATAGCAGATGATGGTTTCCTCTGATGCTAGTAGGATGTGAGCATGCTCCCGTTGTGGGTAGGCAACACATGCTGCATGCATGGAACATCCCCCTAAGTGACGCAGGTGCTGTTGCTGCTTGGCATTTCTCGTCTGTGTTTCGTGGGTGTTGGCCCACCTACGTGTAAGAACGTAGACAAGTAGCATTTTGAACAAGAGCCCATGGATGAATTTGGGTGTATGGTTTTGTTTGTCACACACTTTAATCCATTATAGCTCTGCCTGCTCAAGAATAAACTGAGAGCCCAATTCGGTATGTAGTTGTGTGGCTGACAGTATGCGGGGCATTAATGCCTAAAGCAGATCCACATTTTCATTTAGTTCCTTCTGCAGGTTGTGTTTTTGTTTTATCATCATGTCTTGCACCGCCACCTGGCGAGCATGCATTATGGCAGCATGCTATATGTAGCCAAGCATGGTGGATCAGTGCATTATATAGTCTGTACAAGAGATAACCAGAGAATCTAGTTATTGTAGTCTGAAAAATTGGACCTTGAGTTGGACAGTCACCAGAACAGGACAGTGCTACATTTTACTTAGAGGGTTCACACAATTTAATTTGGTGTTTGACACGAATGTATTAGATGTGTGTTTCTATGTGTGGTAACAACTTCTTCCCAAGCTGCACGCTTGGACGGCCATCATGTGAAGTAACCGACGGTCCATCACAGTCTTGTCTCGCTCTCTCTCACTTCAGGAATATTATGACATGTACGAGAAGGACAAGGAACGTTACGAGAAAGAGATGCTGAAATACACTGAGGGCAAGTGTGGGATCAATGTGAGTGAAGCCGGCAAGAGGGCACCACGGAGCGGTGATTCGAGCCGACGGACAGGGCTCAACGGGCAACAGTCGAATGACAGTGAGGACAATGAGGAGCTGTATGTGTGACACCTGGCAGCCATGTTTTGTTGTCATTATTTATTAAAAAAATATGTAGTTACATTAGACTACATAACAAATTAAACTTCATATAAAGTAATTACTACAATTATATGTACCATACCATGAAATTGGTTTCTAATTTGATTACTTTATTTTAATTTTGCTTGTATTTTTGTAAATGACAATTTTGTGGTGTAAAAATATTAGTCCACGAGTCCTGATCATTATCCTTTGTAGTCGTTAACAGTGTGTATGGCCTGGTCCAGTGAGTGCAGACTCTGTTATATATATATTAATGGTATAACAAAATTTATATCGTCGCTGCTATTTCATGTCAGTGGATACACATCCAACAAGAACAATGTACAAAGTCGAGAAAAAAACTAGAGCGAACAATGGTAGCAATTGAAAATCGCCTGTTATTTTTAGTCGAATTAATTAGTGTTTTTACACACGTAGTTTGAACAATGTACTACTTCATTAAGTCGGCTATGTTTGCCATGTTCTTTGAGCCGAGAAAGAAATGTGTAAGAATGAACTTATGTGCATAGCATTACTTAATTGGACTAAAAAACGGATGCAGTTTTCAGTTTTTATCGTTGTTTGTTCTATAGTTTGTGTTCTTGATGTGTTATCTACTGGTGCAAGTCCAGGGCTGTAGCTGCCGTCTATTGATGTAAATAAAATTGTGTTCTCCTCTGAATAATGACCAGTGTTGTTTACACATATGTTCCAAGTGGCGTACGTTTACAGAATTGGCTGCGTGTTCGTCGTCACTGTACGTGCTGTCTACTTGCCAACTTGTTTTGTATGCAAATTCTAGTATTTACAAGGACAAGATTATCTTCTGTTAAACTGTTACCCAACACACTTATAAAGGTGGTATCGTTCCTGGAAACTCCCTTTTTTAAACGACGAAAATGTAAGTTGCTTAATGTAAGCAATAAGTCGTGATAAAAGTAGTTACTGAACAGCTTGGCCATTCCAGTCGTGACAAAAATTGTTTGGCAAAGGTCACTTGGTGGAATATCCCGTAACGAGTTGAAGCGTTTAAACGAGTGCATGAGTTGGTCTGAAATAAGGGCAAGCAGTGTACTAAAATATGTAAGTAGAGATGTATGTATGTAAGTATGTATGAGAAAAACTAAAAGCATGGACAGTACATGTACAGCAGTAAATACGATCAAGATAATTAAATGTATTAAAAAAAACAAAAATATACAAAAAGAAAAAAAAGAAAAAACAAAGATATACAAAGCAAGCAGTGCAAATAATAGTTAGTCAGTGAGTTACTTCTTGAGCATCCTGTTCCGTAATCGTTTAGCCCTATACAGTGATCTCTTGCTAGATTACCAAGAATCTCCACCTAATATTGGGAGTGAACTTGCATGATTTCCAAATGCATGTCTAGACGAGCGTTTCCACATTTAGCTTTTACACCTCACTATATATGGATTATAATCCCTCTGATAATATCACTCTATATAGGTAAAATTCAGCAGGCACAGCACAAACTCGTTTCTGCAATATTAAAAGTAATTTGGTTTTGATTTGAATCAAAGTACGTCGACCTGTTAACAAATTTCAATGACCAGTCTTATCTAGCTGTAATCTTCAAACTGAATGAAGCAACTTCATTCAGCTTGATGAGGTTAACGATACTGTCACTAACAGGTCAATATACTTAGACATATAATAATGATAATCTTAATATTAATCTTGATATTAATAATAACTTAACATTATCATAAAATCTGATGAACTTTTATTCCAAGGATCACTTCTAAAATGCTTTGATTGGCACGTTCACAACCGTGGCGCCTTGAATCTGTCCTTCTCACTGCGAAGATGTGCCATCACTGCAACCGGGTCGCACTGTTTTGCGTGTTCTTGTACGGAGCCAACACTGAAAGAAAACATCATCCATTGCAAGGAATTGGCCATCAAACACCAATATCTCTCTACATTTTTATATAACTTGGTCTTATTACCTTACTCTCAATTATCTGCAATGAAGAATTGTATATTATATTAGATACTTTCACATGCCTCATCACATTTCGTTGCAATTCTAATTTTATGAGATTTATCCATGCACTCTTGTTGACCATGGATAGCGATGGCTTTAGATTGGCAAAGATGTTCAGCATGTATATTCTAGCTCACCATAAAGAGATATGATCCAAGCACGATTGTAAAAGCCTAACGGCAGAATTCGGTTCTATTTTTGACTGAAATTACTCTATCGAAATGAGTGTGACATGTTCCTTCCACAGATATGAAAAAAATAGGTTAACTCTTAGAAAACTGCTGAAAAATATTTTTCATAGAGAATCATGCACAATCCTGGACACCTTTACCATGGCATGAACCCTCTAAGTTCAAGCTAAACCATATACTCAACAACCAATACTTCTTTACTAGAAGAGGCATCCGTATCAGGGTTCCTTCGACTGTCGTCGATACTCCAATCTTATTTAATTTTTTCTACACTGTCACTCCATTCTCTACATTGACCATCGGTGGCGTCGTTTCGATTGGAAAACTGCTTTCTGGTAAGTTGGAGTGCTTACTTCACTCTCATGAAGGGGTTATACAAAAGCTCTTCTCCTATTGTCGATGGTACGGTAGGCATATCCCTTCTTCTTAGTCCCTGCAACAATATGCAGTTAATGAGAATGAAACCAGTCCACAAGTCCATGTGTGAAAGTGGGATTACTCAAGCTATGCTAGCCACAACACAATAGCATGATACTTTACAATAGTCTCTTTTTACATTGTGTATATCTACGTATACTCCTCATTTAGTTACATTTGTTTTGATTTACTCATGATATATATATCATCAGTTCCTGGGTAGCAGTCAAGCATGCCAATAAAAAAAATTTAGTGTTGTACCTGTGCCCAGTCCATTTTATTGCTGATATCCTGATTATTTGGTTCAACATGGTGCGCAAATGCTAGGTTGCTGAGCGTGTATTCGTGTCCGCAGAAAACCTTCTGCAAAGTCAAGAACTCTCAGTGATTTCCATGTCACACCTACATGTAAAAAGTTAAAACACATTATATTGTGAAATTGAAAGCATGTTTTTTGATATGATGATCACATATACCACATCGGAGAATACTTTCATTAATCAGCAAACTTATCATAAGCCAGAGCCTTATATAACTTCATTAGTGACATCAAGTATGGCTTTTGCATGTTTTCTTTTAAAATGTAGAACATTTGCAAATGTGAATGCCTATATTCTTCATCTGGAAGAAGCACCCATCTCTATGTCTAGAGACTTGCATACATGCAGAGTCATTTTGTGCTAGGTACTCACTTGATTTGAATAATAGAAATACAACAGGAAATTGACACTAGTCGGGTCCATTTGTCACTAACCGTCTCTGGTGGTAGTTTGCTCAGTATTCCTACAAGGGCGTTGTGCATCTGTTCAGGCGACCCCTCAAAGAACTTACCACAACCAGCTATGAAAAGCGTATCACCTAATAAAGAAAGCGATTCCAATTCAATCAAGTTTAACAGCAACTTGCAAAACGTTGAGGCATAACTCGCACAAATTTTGCGATTCCCAGGCTGCATGCAAAATCTTGCTGGTGGTTTGGTGTGGCACAAACGACGAAAGGCATGTGCAGGTAAGCATTCGTACCTGTGAATACAACACCCGGCTCTCCGCTTTGATCCGTCACGTGATAGCAGATGTGACCCGACGTGTGGCAGGGGGTGAACAGACACTCGACGTTTAGGTTTCCGACCTACGTACATAACAGAAACAACCACTTTTTTAGCCATACAGAGTATATAAGAAGAACCTGACGAAGACCACCATTCTTCGAAGCTAGTTGTTAATCACTAACTCTTTAGCTCAATGTCATCGAGTGATAAGCTTCTTGATCCCACACAGTGCAGAGCACTGCATCTGTGTTTTGTAGAATGGGTCCAGGCCTCTGCTTCACACATGTCCATACACACGATAAAGCATTAGATCAAAGTCAATTGAAAAGCCTTGCCAGAATAAGTCATGCCTTGCCATGTACTACTCAAATTCAATGCCATACATGATACACGTGTACAGTTAGCTCTGCGACGGATAATAATTCACCTGGAATTTATCTCCATGCTGTACTTTGTTAGTGAGTGCCCCTATTCTGTCATCACCTCCATAGACAAGCAGTTTCGTGTCGACTCTCCTCACTAGAGCGTCGTTACCACCTGCGTGATCCCTGCAACAACGAGGCAACATATGCAGCACCTAAATTGATCACTAGGAGCAATAACACCAAGGATCACTATTCTGAGTATCTACCAGATATAGAAACAATTGTACACATCCCGCTTGCTACCTGTGGCACTCTATCCGCAATTCTCTTTCAACTGAATGTATATCATGACAATATTACCGACACCTGTAGTGTGTGTAGTAGATACTAATGTGTGCGAATATACCTACCAGTGGTGATGAGTAGTGAGCACACTGGTAAGGTTAACTTCTTCCTCCTTCACTGCTTTTAGCAGCTATGAAATGAAAACAGCAAACGAATAAATTCGATTAGTTTCGAAAAAGAGCTCAACTGTCCAGACTATATCTTTTTAATGACACTCGGGAAAGATTATTACCTAAGCTACATTTTCCAAACTATATTTTATGAATATAATACACTGATCTCCAAAAAAATGTCTCCACAAACCATCTTGAATCCTCTAAGATGAGGGCTGGTGTAGCATACATTCTTATAGCTAAGAATTCTTAGCTACAGAAAGGTATATTACAAACCTTGGCACTATAGCTAGAGTATATCCTAACCAATATCGATATAGTAAAGAGATAATATAAAACACGGGGAATTTGAGGGGTAAAACTATGATGAGGCCTTATTTATAGTCAACATATTCCTAGTAATGTGGAGGGTTATTATGCAGCCAAACTTTCCTTTCCAATTACTACCTTCTAAATTTGGGGTGCATCTAATGCACCAGAGGACCTGATCTGGTATAGATGATACTTTATCAATAGAAAACATGCAAGAAAAAACATGCACCTTATATATGTGAATTATTCTATATAGTCTTAAATCTGCAATCATGCAGGCAGTCACGCGGCAACCGCATTGACGTACCTTGTCCGGCTCAACAGGATCGATAGCAGCAGCTTGATTTGTTGATTCGTCAACCAGTAAGTACATGTAATTGTCTTCCAGAGCAGGGACCAACTTCACTCTCATGGTTTTCAACTTGACAGATGCGTCGCTACTGTGGTACGCGATTCCTTAAAATTAAAGAAGGAAATGTGTAGTACGTGACCATTGTCATTTCAGGGTTTCTTATACATAAGAGGCACAATGGCGCATCACCATTGTCAAATTTAACATTGCCGTTGTGAAAATGATCCTAGCTGAAACAACCCAAAAATAAATAGATCACCACGTTGCAGGGCCGTACGCAGCGGGGGGGGGGGGCAGCAGGGGCAGTTGCCCCCCCTAGAGATTTTCAGAGTATGCCTTTTAATGGGACAAATAGGGCAACAGCTTGTAGACTGGTACCGGTCCCACTTATCGGCTTAGGTCGAGTAATCGAGTAATCGAGGTGGAAGCAAGTACCAGTCTACGCAAGCTTGATGAATCTAGAGTAGGTCCTCTAGCGGCCGTTCAGGCGCGGTAATCATTAATGTGAGTGTTAGCTGGAAGTAATGTGGCAAGCGTTGAAGTCGCTGTATTTCCCTATTTGGTTAGTGCTGGGGCTAGGTATCAAGTATACAGACACTATTATTATTCTACTTATTGGTCAGGTAAATATTACTACTACTTTAGTCATTGTCTAGCGCTGTAGACTGTAGTAGCTCTGGCTGTGTAGTGTAGGTAGGTAGGTAGAGTAGAGTCCCGTGGCGCCGAGGCCTGTGGGAGTGTGGCGAACAACTTCAACAAGGGCTATGATGCTATCAGGAGTAGATAATAGAGAGTTCTATTATCTACTCCTGATGCTATTGTACTTAGCTAAATCCGGTAGTACATCATGCAGTATATCAAGCTCATTTTTGGTAACAACTAAAAACGGCGCGGGCCATAGTCTATATATACTTAGATACAATATAATGTAACCCAACCCAAGAGGATAGGGCACAGGGCATGTAACCGTACTCCGTGGCCCATAAATATGCTCTCTAATAACATGCAAGCTTTCAAATTAACCGCGGAGTAGATTCGCTAACA